ACCACAGGAGCGCGAGTAGTGATAAATGATCATTGCACGGGTCAACGGCGGTAGTCTATCCTTCAAAGGTTTTGTAAGCAACGGCTTATTGTGAAAAACGATTCTCAGGCGGGCCGCGAAATAAGTTTTCTCGACAGCATCTTTCAGGCGTCTGGATAACATATCAGCTGCAGAATCGCCCTTAAAGAGTATATGTATGAATAGCTCTTTCTTAGGAGCAATGCTCCTAGGTGGCTTTCGATTAAGTTCCTTCAAATGTTTTCTGATAAATTTATCCGGATAGCCATTTTCCCTGAGGGCGTCGCTGATTCTCCGTAGTTCTTCGTTGACGGTATCCTGTGTACAAATCCTGCGCGCCCTGAAGGCGAGAGATCCGATTAAACTCCGCTTGTGCTGTAGTGCTACTGCGCTGTGGAAGTTAGTGTACTGCCCAGTCCATGTGTGCTTTCTTTGTACCTTTCTGCTGCATGATCCGTCTGAGTTACGGATAAACTCTACATCCAAGAAAGGTAACCGTTTTCCGAGTTCGTGTTCACAAGTGAAATGGAGATTCTCGTGTGCGCCATTGAAAGCTTTCAGCAACTGTTCCGCATGCTTTTCGGATTTGCAAAGTACGAAGGTGTCATCCACATACCGTACGTACATTTCGGTTTCACGGATGTGCGTTGCAAGTGGGCCATGTTCCAATTTCGCCATGAATATATCAGCCAGCAGCGGCCCCAAAGGAGATCCCATGGTCACTCCGTCAATCTGACGGTACATTTCACCACTGAAAGTGAACTGAACATTTAACATGCAACGAAGTAGCACCCCCTTTAGCGAATTCTCCGAAAAAGTTGTGTATATGGGCAGTTGCCGAGCAAGCTCGCATACATATTCCACGGTTTCGAGCAATGGAATGTTTGTGAACAGCGGCTGGGCATCGAATGATATCATCCTTTTGTTAGCAAGGTTGCTTTGAGATATCCTCTCAATGAATTCAAACGTGTCTCTCACGCAGTAAGTGCAAACCAAATTCCGTAACGACAGCAGCTTCGCCACCATCTACTGGGCCAACAAATGCTGAGGAGAACCCACCATGTCCAAGATTGGGCGCATTGGGGCGCCTTCCTTGTGAACTTTAGGTAGGCAATATAATCTCGGTAGGTGTCCACCTGAAGGCTTTAGCTTTTCGAATTCGTTCTTCGTGACAAGTTTGGTTTGCATCATTCGCCTGAGACAGCCGGTTAGCTGTTTCTCTAACTCTCCTGTGTTGTCTTTTCTTGTCATGACCCTTTGAAACTTACTCTCATCACTGAGGATGTGTTGCATTTTATGGATATAATGCACCCTATCCATTAGCACTATGCCGGAGCCCTTGTCTGGCTTAGAGATTATTAATTCGTGGTTTAACCGTAGCTCTTTAAGTGACTGGATTTGTTCCCTTGTGATCATCACGGC